GTTCTTACCCACGAAAGCTTATGCTCCCAGTACTTCTGTTAGTCTCAAAGGTGCCACAGGACCCTCTGTTGCTTTTTAAAGATTAAGAGATATAGCAGATAAACTGACCACAGAATGTGTAGCTCACGCTGTCATTTGTACATTCCTATCTCTTGGTTTGATGAAAAGATGTCAACAGCAAAATTTACATATATTATATATCAGATGTCGAGGGTGAGGCTACTTTCTCAGGTAACTGAAAATATATATACCAAGGGATTCTCATGCAGCATGGTAACCAGGAAGTGAAGCAAGTAGGATCTGTGATAGTTTTAGAGCCCTGAATATCTCTCTAGCTTTAATTTTTCACAACTGTGTTTGTATCCTCTGGATCTCAGGAGGGGGCGATACATTTCAAATTGATGTCTTGTGGGTTCGTCACAAGCCCCAGATAAGAACCAGCACAACCCTGCTGCTCTGGGAGCAGACCAGGGACCAGACAGTCACTCAAGAGTCCCAATCAGTCCCTGGTTCTCCTTTGATCTAATGGAGAAGTCATCTGTGTGATCCCTTTTTTTAGTGCAGACCACTACCTGTCCCCTACTGATACACCTGTGCCAGACAGTGTCTCTCTACCGATACACCTGTGCCTGACCCTGGGGAGGCCACCTTTCCTCTCCGTGCTGCGACCTACAGCATGGAAGTGAGGGATAAGAGGAGATTGTTGACAAAGGCACAAAAAATATAAAATGAGGAGGAGATGAGGCTGTGACAGCAACTGAACAGAATTTTTTTTTATTATTATGACAGAATTTGTCATTTGAAAAATTTCAGCTAGTTCTGGTACCCTTGGAAATAGCAAAGCACCCCTTCATCTCCCCAAGGAATCTAAATATGGTTTTATGTGAAGTTCCTGAGGTTTTTCATTATTCTGTTCTTCATGCACAATTTTGTACCTTTACCCTGCCCCACTCAAACACGCCCCACAAGTTCAGAATGCAGCACTGCAGCGCCCTCTGGTGTTTATCATAGACTTGAAAGAACACCCCCACCTGACTCCAGAACGTCACACTAGTGAGCAATGCACTTTGCTGCAGAGTGCTGAGTTAACAAGGGCACTTAAACTTCCTGAGAAGTCTTTTAAATCAAAGGAGTCTTTTGTGAAGAGTTGGAATGAAGAGAGGATCTTTGCTGTGCTCTGTGAATCTGGAGGGCTTTTGTTTTGTATTTTACAAAAGAGCCTGTTGTATGTTCCTACAGTGTTCAAGGGAAACAAGTAAATTGCAAATTGAAATGATCTGAAGAGCATATTTTACTGTTTTAAAATGTTTAAAATAATCCTTCTAATTAATATTGTTTTCTGTCCAGACCTGTACTTCATTTAAAAGTAAATGTCATTTGGTTAAGCATGCATTAAGCGTACAGCTCACTACAGTCTTTATTTAAATGTCACTTTTTTTTAACCTATTGCCTATCTTATGTTACACATTTGGGTATTGATCAACTCTGGAAAATAATCCGGGGGGAAAAAGCAGCCTTTAACAAACTAGTCTGAGGAGTCATTGTTCCATGAAAAGCAGAGATTTTCAGCAGCTATAGATGGGAACAGTGACATCAGCGCTATTTAAAAAAAAACATGACCGCAGCACCTTAAATCTGTTTGAAATTGTCAGTGATTTTTCAACTATTTTTCCGTCCCTAAAATTGTTTTACGTAGAAGAAAAAACACCCCCACATTGTCTGCAGCAGCATTCAGGTTTAGAAATGCTAAAATAACATGCTACAGTTGCCTGTTGCCAGAACACCTACTTTGGCCAAGTTAGTATTTTCTGTTCATCATGTTGCAATAGTTATAGTGCCGGGTTTTGATTACACTCTAGTTAAATCTAAAATGTAACACTTTGCCCAGAAAGAGCTCCTAATATATTTTAATAAAATAATACACATGGTGCCAGAGGCTTCCGCCATTGTTTCTTATATGACTGTAAAATACACAGTGTAATATGCACAAGAATGCCCAAACTTTTTACATTTTAATTGAGAGTGCCTTGCTAAATGTTTGTCTTACAAACCCAGTATGGGAGTAGAGTGGAGACAGTGCCCAGATGATAACAGAATCACTGATCAAAAGGACGTTTTCAGCCACTATGAACTAAGGCAGTGGTTTCAAGCTGCAGGTCGTGACCCAGTACTGGGTCATGGAGTGTAAAGCGCTGGGTCACAGAGGCTCTGGTCAGCACCACTGACCGAGCCGTTAAAAGTCCCATCAACGGTGCTGGCCAGCTAAGGCAGGCTAGTCCTTACCTGTTCTGAAACCGTGCTGCGCCCCGGAAGCAGCCAGCAGCAGGTCCGGCTCCTAGGCAGGGGGGCCACGGGGCTCAGTGCGCTGCCCCCACCCCGAGCACCACCTCTGCACTCCCAGCCAATGGGAGCTGGGGGAGGGGGTGGGTTCCTACGGTGAGAGCTGTATGGAGCCGCTTGCGTGCCTCCACTTAGGAGCCATACCTGCTGCTGGCTGCTTCCAGGATGCAGCACGATCCACGGTGCCAGGACAGGCAGGAAGCCTGCCTTAGCACTCCCACTGCTGCTGGCTGAGAGCCGCCCAAGGTAAGCCCATGCCCCAATCCCCTACCCCAGCCCTGAGCCCCCCCAAACCTGGAGCCCTCTCCTGCACCCCAAACTTCTCATCCCCTTCCCCAACCCAGAATCTGCACCCCCAGCCCAGAGCCCTGACCCCCTCCCACACCCCAATACCCTGCCCAAGCCCTGAGCCCCCTCTCAAACCCGCAGCTCCCTCTTACACCCCAAAACCTTCATCCCTGGCCCTGACCACCCTCCTGCACCCCAGCCCTGAGCCCCACCAAACCTGGAGCCCCCCTGCACCCCAACCCCCTCATCCCTGTCCCACCCCACAGCCTTCACCCATGCACCCCAACCCTCTACCCCAGCCCTGAGCCCCTCCCACACCCCAAACCCCTCATCCCCAGCTCCGTTGGGTTGCGGGCATCAATACTTTTCTTCAACTGGGTCACCAGAGAAAAAGTTTGAAAACCACTGAACTAAGGCCCATATTCAGTAAGGCACTTAAACACATGCCTAATGTAAAGTGTACATGCTTAAGTTACTTGCATAATCAGAGCCTAAATCTATCTTAAGTACTTCTATGCCCCCCAATCCCTACAATTCCACAGTATCTGAGAACCTCAGTCTTCTAATGCATTTATACCTGGGGCACAGCTGGGGAACCATTGAAAGACTTGCTAGAAACAGACAGGAGTGAAGGAGCTTCGTCACTGCCCTAAACACCAGAGGCATAATAGGAACATGATGATGATGATCTCTTGAGTAAAGCATTTAGTCCTATATTTCCTGAATCTTTTCTTACTGTGGCACTGTGGTACATCTTTAAGCTGTTTAAAACAACTAGCTGAATCTTCTGGCTTTGCTATGATGAATTGACAGACTGGAAGAGCAGAAAAACTTGCAGATTCCACAGCTAAGAGGTGCTTCCCTCACCCTAGTGGTTTCTAATTAACCCTTTGTGTTCAATGTTCTTAAGTACCTGAGTAGCATAAAAAGTATGCTCATGGGTTCTAGTTTTCCTGATGTGGATGTTCACACTGGGTTTCAGGTGGGGCTCCCCCTTCTTTAAGGTAGCTAGCTGCACCAGCACCTCAAGTATGGAGTTGTCCTTGCGCTCAGGGATTTATACGGACTCTGATTGGAGCTGCTCTCCATGGGCGGGGGGGATGGGAGGCTCTTTGTTTCTCTTTCCTGCATATTAGCATAGGACAAGCCACAAATTGACTTAGTCTTCCTGTGTGGTCCTGGATATGGCAGAGGTAGGACTAGAACCCTATCTTACCCCCAGGCCTGGAGCTTAATCACTGTCCTCCCCTTCCCATATACCAAGAAACGCTCAGCTCTTATGCCCTGTCTCAACTGCTGTAGCTGCTGAGCAGATCCCCTCCACCCCCCGATCACTGCTGCCTCACTGCAGGAGGAGAGCTGCCCTGGCTGTTCTGCTAGGCAAGAAGCATGATAGGGAGCCTGTAGCAGGATTGTGACTCTGTTTTGGCTCTATGGGGAAGCACCAATAACAGATTGTTCATGGCTTTCCAGCCATAGAAATGAAGGAGGCAGTTGAGTCTGAGATCAGCCCTTCATTGGTGCAAAGACCCCCTAGTTAAATAAAACAGGGGGGAGAACACAGATCAGTTTTGCTGTAGGGAGGAGAGTGCAGAGCGCAGCATAGGATCAGTGGGTGGCCTCAATGGGGCAAGTGATGACCGGCTGGAGTCTTAGAGGAAACTAAAGGATGGTAACAGCAATGGGATTGGGAGTCTGTGGAGGGAGGGGATAGAGACTTGGTAGCCTGGCGGGAACAGAGTTAATTAAGAACAGAGGATAGATGCAGGGATACTGGTGGGCAGATCATAGTCTGATGGAGCATGGCTTCTGGGAGTGCAGGGTAGAGTGGGAGCTGAAAAGAGGAACAAAGAGAAATTGGGCTAGAGAGACGCAATGTATTTGGTGGAAGGGGGGTGGGAGATGTTCTCTTTTTAATATTTTGCTACTACAGACCAGACCGTATTCTCTCATGATGTGCTC